CCCCCCTTGAAAACTTTAACTAAATACTTATTCTGCTTTTATATTGTAAGTAAATTTCATGATTTCTAAAGGCAGAATGAAAACAATGTCAATTCAGTAAATGTTATCAATTAATTTAAATAAACAATGCACATGTAAAATTGTAAGATCACCTTTTTTTTCCCTGAATTTCCTCTCCTAGTGCCTTCTGGGTTGTTTGACAACACAATTTCTGTGGAACATTTTTGCATGTCACTTCGAACATGGTGAACATTTTTTGATGTTTGTAATTCATGTAATTATTGTGTTCTGTAGGGTCATTGTCTCTGGGCCCCACATCTGTCACTCAAATTCCTGGGACAGCTCCATCTCTATGGAGTCAGACTCCCACAATGTTTCCTCCTCAAGGCGGTGTTCCTCAAGTAATGGTTCCAGGACAACCAAGCCTTTTTTCTCAACCATCTGCTTTTGGAGGACTGCCTGCACCTGCATGGGGGCAGCAAGGAGCTTCCCCTTTTGGTCCACCAGCTGTCACTCAAGCCTGGGGTCAACCAGGAACTGCAGCACCTGGTGGGGCCTGGCCCACCTCTGGTCCTGTGGCCAGCCCTTTCCAACCAAACCAATTTGCTCCCATGATGCCTCCTAATTCAGTGATGGGTATGCAGCAGAGTGCAGTGGTTCCTCCTCGACCTCCACCTCGTCCCCCGGTGAAAGAAGATACCCCAGTGGTCAAAAGCGCCTTTACAGCTTTGGACCCCCTAGGGGAGAAGGAGAAGAAGACTGGAAAAGATATGTTCAAAAATTTCCAGATGGTTAAGACCCAGAGAGCAGAACAAGGAACTGGTCCAAGCACCAATGGCTCATTTGACCAATACTTTTCTAGCAAGGATGGCTTGGCTCAGGAGGTGGCAGAACGTGATAACTTTGACATAAACCAAATCTCAGTTAACTCAAATGGTATACATTTAATTAACAGCTGTAACTTATGATCTATGTCACAGAGAATAGAAATTTCGATGGTTTGATAATTACAGTTCCTTGTCTTGTCCAGGGACCTCCAAACTTGCTCCTCAGCAGTCCCCTCTTACTGTTGCAGTACCTCAGGGAGCAGGTCTGATCCCGACCCTGGCCCCAGTCACAGGGCTTTTGGATGCTGCCTTCACTCCTAATCCAGCCCCTGCACCCTCAAACCAAACTCCCACAGCAGGCTCAAACCTTTTTGATGACCCTTTTAGAACTAACCCTTTTGGAGCACCACCCATGAATACAGTATGTACATTTACATAGTTTTTGAATTCTAAAAGCTTATAGTGTTGAAAAGACAGTTTTATGTGTAACACTGTGTTTGTCTGTTTTTACGGTGTTTTTGGGATTGCAAATTTTGTTGACCTTTTGAATTTTTCTGAATTAATTTTGTTGCCCGTTTTCTATCACAGAGCACTCCAGCCACTCAGACTGCTGCCCTTGCAGATGCTTTTGGAGACCCGTTTAGTGGAAATCCTTTTGCCTGAGAAACTTTAGCACTGTTGGTGAGAAACTATAAAGACACTCACTTAAATACTACTTTAAATGTTTGGTTATTTTATATATTGTATAAGTCTCTAAGAAATATGATTTGCAGTATGTGTTAAAATAAATACATGACCTGTTCATATACTTATTTCAGTACACTCTCACTGATCCAGTGCTACTGAACCAGAGGACCACACAAGCACTGTAGAGTTGCAATCAGCATTCTACTACATGGGAAAGAAATGTGCCCATAAAACCCCTTTTCTTTTATTGTGTGCTTCACTGTTCTCATTCTCACTATATATCTGCTGTAGCCTCTCTTTCTGTGCCTTTCAAACTGATCAGAGATCGGCCCTTCTCCAGCCCATTCACATCAACCCATTTCAGTCCCAAGTCACTCATGAAATAAGATGCACAGTTGAAGTAGGGTTCTTCTAGAGCGTGTAATAGAGAAGGAGAGGGAATAAAAGATGTTGATTATGTTTGTGTACATGATTTTTCTGTATGCAAGTATCCCGAGCATTTATGATGAAGTAAAAATGCGTAATCCTAATGATTTGTCATTAAAGAAAGTGAATAAATATCTGGCTTTGTGGGGGTTTTTTTTGTCACCTGCTCTCAATTTAACATCAGGTAGTAAAATCGGAGCAATTATTAATGTTATGCAGTGCATCTTAGTATATCTGGCTCTAAATGTTGTTTACAAGAGCTGAGATAAATGCTGAAAGTACATACTGTTGTACAACAAAGTTGGTAACTATAGTGAAAGAAAGGGCTCCAAGATGTGACCAGACTACAGAGGCCATTAATGCAATGACACTTGCCAGTGTGCCCATTATCATGCGCCAAGAATTTGCCATTACCCCTTCAGTTCTATTTATACAGACAGGATGGCATCATTCTGTGTACGTCAGATTGTAACACAGGGGTGAAAGATTTGCCAAGCCTCTTTGTTGACGTTTGGGACTGGATAATTTGGGATAAAGGTTTAATAGACAAGAACAGTATAAAAGAAGTGAGCGGCAGCGGTTCTATTTATACAGACAGGATGGCATCATTCTGTGTACGTCAGATTGTAACACAGGGGTGAAAGATTTGCCAAGCCTCTTTGTTGACGTTTGGACTGGATAATTTGGGATAAAGGTTTAATAGACAAGAACAGTATAAAAGAAGTGAGCGGCAGCTTTCTGTAGCATTTCACAAGTTCACTGTTGTATCTGCATCAGGTATTGAAAGCTCCAAAAGTGTTTTTCAGTTTTTAAATTGTTTAAAGATGCCCCGTCCTTTGTTTCAAAGAAATGGTTGCTGGGACCCTCTACAGGAAAAGACACAAAGCCTTTTCAACCAAAACACCGACCTCCCCGGTTTCCTCGAACCAGATGAGGTTAGCTGGATAGAATCAGCAAGGAAAAGATTGGGGACTTCAACCTGGCCAGGATCTATGCGTTTACCTCTCTTCAGCTCTTTGTGCATGGAGATTCCACCTAAACCATGTACTGGATCAGAAGGATGTGTTTCTGAATCTATATGTGAACAAATGAAAGGACAGCAAAACTGGAACGTGTGTCTAGATGTCAGTCCATTTTCTCCAGAGGAGATAAACATCAAAACCAAGGAGGGATATTTGGAGATAACGGGTATGATGACCTTCATATGCCTGGCTTTATTCTGTGTGACGAATTTATGATGCACTGCATATTTATGTGAATGTAACCAGCGTATGCAATGACATCACATACTGCAGATCACATTTCCTAGAGATTTCAATGGCATGTTTTCTTTCATAGGTAATCGTGAGGAAAGGCAGGAGAATCACCGGTTGATCTCAAGAAGCTTTACAAGAAAATACAAGTAAGGTAGTTTTAGGTTTACTTTTTTTATTTTCAATTTGTGTTCTCATAGTAACTTCTCATGTATTTAAAAAAGAGTTACATTTTAAAATCTTGTATTACAGCTGTACAGAATGTACGGTGTTACTCCATTACTCATGGCTGGCGTCATTTCTCTTGTGTAATTCATTAGGCTTCCAGCTGACTTAGACCTAAAACAGATCAACTCCATGCTGTCTCCAGATGGTATTCTCGCAGTTGAGGCCCCATTACCTGGCTCTAATATCAGTCTCCCTGGAGAGATTGTCATCCCTATTCACATGATGGACAAACAGTTACCTGCAAAATCAGATGAGCTGTGCCTAACTGGTAACAAGTAATTTACAGTTCTAGTTAAGGGTTAGGCATAGCCCATCTGATTTAATATGTATGTGTACATATGTGTGTTGAAAGTAATGAATGTTTTAAACCTTTTGTTTTTGAAAGCTAACATTAGAAGAATTTGAAATACTGGCTTTGCATGAAAATATTTATCTTCTGAATTATTAACAAAACATTACTAGAGATGGTAATATGCTAAATTGATGAGTTCTGCTGTTACTTTGGTTTTAAATACCATTATGCAATACATAATTTGTGCTGTATAAGAACTCTTAAGATAATCACTTGTATGTAACCATTAAGTACTAAAGAGAGATTAGATTTTCCAGTTCACACTTTCTCAGGCTAGAAAGGAAAGAAAGAAAGAGGCTTCATATGAGGCTTGTGTCATGTAATGCCAGGACAATCCTTTTGATTTTGAGAGACTATTTTAGTACATCTGTTTTGAGAATGGTGGAAATAATATAACAATAAAGTAATGTAATTATAATTAACAAGAGACTTTGAACTGAAATTGTCTGGGAAAATCAATAAATAGGTAAGCAAATAACTAAATCTGATCATGCGGCTGAGCAGAACTTCAGATCGCATCCTCCAGATGGTGCTGGTATTTAAAGCTGTAGAGCTGACACCAGATTCTCAGTGCGTTAAACTTCACACTACCACACTGCTTGTGAGGAAGGTCATGACGCAGTCAGTTATGAAACACAAAGCCTGCCTTCCTTTAGTTTCCTTGGGGTGTTTAGATGTATGGAGGCAGGTTTCTTTTTACCTACACAGTTTTACCTTGACTATTTTTGTATGTGTTCCACAGCTTTCATCACATTACTCAGGAGCAGTCATCAAATGACATGTCTCAGTTACACTAGGCACGGTAAAAACAGCAATGTGTTGACATGCTCAGTATTTTCCCTTTTTCTGTTACCTTGATTTAGTATGTTGGCCAGATGACGTATCCTTTTTACCCAAAGATCTGTGTTGCTGACAGATAATCAAGCATATTATATGTATATATCTAGCTGGTTTGAATTTGTTGCTTAGGGCACAAAACAGCTTTATCTCTGTCATTCCTACAAGTTGTTTAGGGATTTTACACAATCAAATGACAGTATGTTACAGTCAAGTACAGGTGCATCTCAATAAATTAGAATGTCGTGGAAAAGTTGATTTATTTCAGTAATTCAACTCAAATTGTGAAACTCGTGTATTAAATAAATTCAATGCACACAGACTGAAGTAGTTTAAGTCTTTGGTTCTTTTAATAGTAAATGGCTATTAAAAACCTGACAGTATAAGGATTTCTTTATTTCCTGGCTCAATGAGTCAATTATGACTTAATGCATCATCAGTTGTATTTTACAGAGGCTGAGCCTATTAAAATTCTAATGATGATTGCTGTTAGTATATGGCAGATTAAATTAAGTGCTGGAACTAGGCCTGTAAATATACACCATATAACACCAGGGCATGTAGAACCGCCACTTGGCACCATCATTTAACTTACTGAGTGCACACATGGTGGACATGCCAGAAATACGGCCCAGGGCATCTCCAATTACATGACAAGTCTTAAGATATTCAGGAGGAAAGAGGGTGTTGAAATAGTGATGATGCCAGTGAGCTCTGCAGGGGCCACTGCAGACGGTGGGGTCTGGTATGAGCAAGTGTAATGAGTGAATGAAGATTTTTGGCACAATAAAAGATTAGTTTGTCAACATGTTCACAATTCAGTGTTACATGCACAACATAAATATGCGAACATATCTGTTATTTGCATATAGGGTAGTCTTAGTTGCCATTTTAGGTGGGGATTTGTGTGTGTGTGTGTGTGTGTGTGAGAAGTTTAACTTACACTCTAAAAAATGCTGGGTCGTTTCAACCCAACTTTGGGTCAAATATGGACTAACCCAACTTTTGGGTTAAAAATCTTTAAATTTTTAACCCAAAAGTTGGTATACATCTTACATATGTTCTAAAGATTAAAAAAAATGCTTATCAGTATTTGACATGGCATTGACTCTTAACGTTATCTGTAGAATATTATTCCCTGGACTGTAGCATATAAATTACCCTGAATGCTGTTCTTGCCAAAGATTGTTTCTGCCAGTTTTAATAACATTTTATGGGGATTTTCCATGATCATCTCCACTGGAAGTAAATAATACAGTTTTCCTTTACAGCATGTGCAAAGTAAAGTCAACTTTTAATTTGGTTAACTTAGTTTGTCTTTTACTCGCTTCCACACAGCCCTAACCTACTAAAAGCTATGCATGCTCAGCGCTACACACATTTGCCCTGCTATAAAAAATCAGGCAAATGTTATGCTAGTGTTGATTTCAGTTTCTGAGTGAATGAGGCCATAAAAAAAGTGTCACACGTTTCAGGGGGATGTATGATGAGGTGATATTCCAATATTAATATAAAATATATCACACGAGAAAGCATGATTCTCAACACTTAAGCCAAATTTTATGGGTTTTTTTTTGTTATATAACGAAATAAAATAAAAAATTTTGGAAAAAAAAAACATTGCACATATTTTAAGCAAAACATTTCCTAAAACTGTTTTGAAAATGGTTTACAATGATTAAACAATAGATATGCTATAAAAAAATCTGGTATTTGTACGCTATGGTTGACAAATGTTAGCGGAACATACAGTAGTTGATGTGATGAACTACACCTGTGGTTAACCTACTGACTACTTGGTTACCAGTCATTATAAACAATGGGTCAGAAAAGTTAAATTAATTCTGAGAAATGGTCTAGCTAGCATTATTTTTATACAGATACCACTTGATTTGATATTGTTTCTAATGCAATGAAATTTATACACAAAGTGACTTACATGTCTCCTAGCTCAGAATGTTTTTTTGGGGGGCCACTATATATATGCTGAATTATGCAATTTGAAGTTATATTTCTGTAATTTGAATGTTAGTTCTCCAACATTTTCTGCATGTAAAAAAACACAAAGCAACGTTTGACACACCCAATTACATAACATTGTCAACATCTTAACATACTTAATATCACAAAAGAATTAATATTGAGAAAATATATTTCCATAACCTTTTCTTATTACAAATACTTAAAGTCAGAAAAAAAAACATTATCCAGTATTGATGCTGCTGCATAGTGATGGCAAAGCCAATCAGTCTCCTTGAAATTTAACATTAAATAAGAACTAATCCATGTATGATTAAGCCTGCCTTGTTTTTAGTCTCACTGGTGTATCATAATACATCTGTTGACATTCCATGCATCTCTTTAGGTAGTATTGAATGTCAACAAAACTAATCATTTGCTAAATTGATTTATCAAAACAAAAGTATCATATATATGTATATATATATATATATTTATAGAGAGAGTATCATATATATATATAGGATCATATACTGTATATCTAAACTTTCATATGTATCTAAACTTCACAGACAAACAATGACACACAAGTAGGCCTACATTATTTAAGTTCTGGAAGAAAAATTACATATGCAATACAGTTAGTCATTTCCATCTTCAGAATGATTGTCAGTGCCAAGTGCTTCACCTTACCAATTCCTTTGACTCTCATTCATGCCATATTAGACATTAGTTAGCCATATTTAACTTCTGCTTGGCTGGCAGAACAAATCCAATATAAGGCAGTACATACAGTACAAGCCCTGAAGACTGTTCAGGAGACAGCTGTGTTCGTGATTGTGGTGAGAACTCTAGTTTCTTCATGCATTACTGTTTGTCATTGGTTGTTACAAATACACTTACAATAGATTATGATTAGAAGAAAAGGGAGAAACAGGTGACTGTCAAATATTCTGGATATTTCCATTCAAGTTTTTTCAGTATTACTTAATGTGAGATATGAAAAGAGATATCACATAAATGTATGGTAAGATTATTTTGCTAATAAAGAAAATGGAGATCAGAATGGTAACATGAATTTTAAAGGGGTCATATGATGCGATTTCATTTTTTCCTTTCTCTTTGAAGTGTTACGAGCTCTTGGTGCATAAAGAAGATCTGTAAAGTTGCAAAGACTAAAGTCTCAAATCCAAAGAGATATTCTTTTTAAAAGTAAAGAGTCAGCCACCCCTGCCTAAAACGGCTCGTTCTAACACGCCCCCACATGTCTACGTCACTATGTGGGAATATTTGCATAACACCGCCCAAATGTTCACGCAAAGAAAGAAGGCGTAACTTTTATTCTCGCTGTAGTATTGTTGCCGCCGCTGTCATGTCGCGAAGGAGCTGTGTTTCATTGTGAAAGCTAAACTACTTTGTTTGGACTTCCAAAAGAGGACGATATTCGCTTCGTCATGCCTAGAGCTGATCCGTGCTGGTCACTGAGGAAATACAACTTTGCGCTGTGGATCGCCGGATTGGCAGCCCAGGGTCGTCACATGTTGTTGCCGCAAGCCCGCCGGATGCTCCTTCGTTGTTCTGACACACAGACTGTAAGTACGTTTTTGGTTTTTATATTTGATATATTTAAAGCAAGTTTTTGGGCAGTGTAGAGTAGGGCTTGTTGTTTGTCATTTCTCCGATCACAAATGCAGACATGGTTTTATGTTTGCGCGGCGCGATGCAACGCAACGCGTAAAAAGACAGTATAAGTCATTATAATCCATAATTATGTCATCACTGGATGCAAAGAATGCCTCGTTTATAATGGGTTTTTATGTTTTTGAATCATGGCATCGGCCTGACGGCATCACAGTATGTTAAGGGGCGTAACATTTCCGTCACACGCTTGAGGAATTCGGCCAATCACAACGCACTGGATAGCTGGCCAATCAGAGCACACCTCGCTTTTTTAGAACGATGAGCTTTGTAAAAATCGACGCGTTTCAGAAAGGCGGAGCACAGAGGAGAAACAATAATGTACAGTATGTGGAAAATAATGTGTTTTTTTAACCTTAAACCACACAAACACATTTCATTACACCAAATACACAAAATAATGTTCTTTTTAGCAACATCATATGACCCCTTTAATATTATCACAGGACTGCTGGAAAAACATCATCAAAAAAGGTAAACAATTTATGTTGGTAATAACAACAACCATTTTTCATTTCTAATTCACGGATCGTGTATTATTTGTTTATTTATTTGTTTGTTTGTCAAGTAGTAGTGCAATTGAATTAGATATTTCAACATTACAATTAAATGGATAATGATGACAATATGGATTGTGTATTTCATCTCACCTTCTACCAAAATAAATAAATAAAATGTGTATTGTAATGAGATTTTCCTGTAAATAAATAAATAAAAAAGATCCTCTCTTCACTGCAGTATGCTGCCACCATGAGTACAGAAGCAGAGATGGCAATTGACGGCAAGGCTGCCATTTTCCTCCGTAAGCCTGGGAAGGAGAATCGAGGCTCAGAACAAACCATTCGAGGCCAAGACTGCCTGCTATGTGGTTGACGATAAAGAGCTCTATGTCAAGGGAACAATCAAGAGCAAAGACGGTGGCAAAGTCACTGTTATTGTGAATCACACTTAAGGAGGTAATGAGTTTATCCTTTCCATTTCATGTAGATGACATCACTTCATTTCTACTCAGATTTTTCTTAATATCAAATGAATTGCATTTTTAGGAAAGAGTTGTTAAAGAGGATTAAGTTCACCCAATGAATCGAATCCTCCCAAGTTTGACAGAATTGAGCAGAATTGAGGACATGGCCATGATGACCCATCTCAATGAACCCCTTTGTGCTGTATAACCTCAAAGAGCGTTATGCCGCATGGATGATCTACCTAAATTCTGGAGCAAAGTAAAACAGCATTTATTTTAATCTCGTCAGTGTTGTTGTTGCAATCTGACCACTTCTCTGCTCATTTCAGACCTACTCTGGACTGTTCTGCGCTATGAACCCCTACAAGAACCCCCAGTGTATGATGCAGAAGTGGTGGCTGCCTATGGAGGCCCCACCTCACATCCTCTCTGTCTCTGACAACGCCTATTAGTTCATGCTGACTGGTAAGATCTGATTTACATAATTAGACTTATATATTTAAGTTGAAAGTTCAAATTCACATTCATAGTTTTTCAAAACAATTGCTAAAACATTATTACCTTTGAATTTACAGAGAGAACCAGTCTGTCTTGATCACACATGTATCTAATCTACTATTAGAAATGTTGAGATGAGCTATATTTTGCTCTTGTGTATCCTCTGCGTATTTTCTCATCTTTAATGAACCAGTGGAGAATCTGGTGCTGGAAAGACTGTGAACACCAAACGTGTCATCCAGTACTTTGCCACAGTTGCAGTTCAGGGTGATAAGAAGAAAGAGCAGGGTCCCGGCAAAATGCAGGTATGAGATACAAAACAAATATATTATTCTAAAAGATAGTGAATTACAGTCATCTCACACAATATATGATATGTGAGTTTATGAAATGCCTGCAAACAGTGTTTAGACATAAAAGAGAAAATTAATAACAATCTTTCAAACATCACAGGGCTCTCTTGAGGACCAGATTATTGCTGCCAACCCACTGCTTGAGGCTTATGGTAATGCCAAGACTGTGAGAAATGACAACTCCTCTCGTTTTGTAAGTTCACCACTTTATATTTACATACAGTACAGTTGGTCAGTTTTGTTGAATTTTATCTATATAGAGTTTTTTTAATGAACTGTTTTAAAAGCTGGCTTCTTTTGCACAATAGGAACTCAAATGTTATTTTGTTCTAAAAAGGGTATTCATCAGAATTCACTTCGGTACATCAGGAAAACTGGCTAGTGCTGACATTGAGACATGTAGGTGGACATGATTTCATTTACCCATCCTGCACATTTGTCTTTGTCGGTCACTCTTCAGATGATTG